GACTTCAACTCCCAGAATTCCCCAGCCAGCAAATGCTGGCTGGGGAATTCTGGGAGTTGAAGTCCAGACATCTTCAAGTTGCCAAGGTTGAGAAACACTGCTTTAGTTCCTTGGAGCTGGTAATTATACAGCCATTTGCACATTGGTATGTAAGCCTATGTGGCTGTCCTTTCCCCTCAATACCGCAACATCACTCTAGTCTAGTTCATACAAAGCATTTTGCTATTGTCACCGTGCCTCTCTTGGGACTAAGTGTTCTGCAGAGGCTCAAATCCATTTGCAACATCTTGGGTGATCTTCAGAAAGGGCCCCAGGAGCTGGTTTAATTTATGGCTTGAGTGTTTTCTGCGTTCTCTTCTATGTCAATTCGGACTGTGATTTTCTGCAGCTATGCATTAAAGCACCAACTCGAAAGGAAATGTCAAATAAGGCGACGTGGTCTGCCGATCCTAACATCCACACTATTCATTGCGAGGCTCCTTGGCAAAACCCTCCTTTGTCAAAGGCGTCTTCGATTCCCTCCCAAGCTGAGTGAAAGGGGGTGGGAGGCAGGCCAGTCGCTCGCTTCAAAAGGGGAGGGGCGCTGCAGAACTTTGAGCATCCAGAGCCTTGCAGCAGGGGGGAGAGAGAGAGAGGGAGGGAGAGGCTGGCTGGCTGGCTGGCTAGCAGCGGGGTCAAACGCTAACCTTTCCCTTCGGCTGTCTTGCACGGCCAGGCGTGGGTGGAGAGGAGACGGAAAAGCGGATCGGGGCGGGAGGGAGGGAGGAAGGGGGCTTGTCTGGACTCCTCATCCGCAGATCTGGGAAGGAAGCGACTGCAGCAGAATCGGCTCCTGCCCAATGGCTCAGACTGCTGAGTGAGAGCGGCGCGCTTGTGGGTCTGTCCCCCCTCCCTCCTTCCCTGCTGATCTCGCCTAGCGTAATTGGAGTAGAGAGCGGAGGGCGCAGTAGACGCCTTCAGACATGGCGGGCACCGAAGGCATCTCAGCAGGTAATGGGCTTGAAGGGTCCTGCGGCGGGCAGGGACGGGGCGGGGGGGGGCATTGCATGGTTTGGAGGAAGCTTTGTCAGCAGGAAAAATCGCCAATGCAGCATATATAAGTATATGCAGAAGATTCCTTGGAGGGGGGTAGGCAAGGGATCCGGGCTTGAGGGATGGAGCGGGGGCAGAAGCCTCTCGGCTCCCGGGTTATGTCTTGCAGGCTGTCATGAGCCTCGGAAGGGACGCCCTCCACTCTAATGCTGCAAAACACTCATTGCACATCCTAGCGGCGTCTAATCTTGCAAGGTGACCATTGAGTAGAAAGGAAGCCCGTGTGAAAAACCAGACTTGGCGTCAGTATCATTTCAACAAAAAAAACAAAAACCAACCCCCCCCCCCGCGAATTATAAGGAGGCGCCCCTACCTGGGCTGCAAAAGGCACTAACGGTGTTAACTCGCGGGGTTCGCAGCGCAGAGCGCTCACGTGCACCGACTTCTGTCCACGCACGGGATGAGCGCGCGCAGAACATTGGGGCCCGGATCTCTACATTTTGGGGCGGTTTTTGCGCAATACGCTTGAAGCAGAACCCAACGGGCCGAATTCACAGAAGACGCCAAGCCGCAACCCCCCCCCCCTCCAACCCCACCACACACACACACACACACACACACACACACACACACACACACACACACACACAC